GTCTACCGGCATAATTGTCTGCATGTCTATCATTCTGCTGGTTTATCTGTCTACCTGTCTCATTTTCTATTTTGATCCTGATCACCTGTTCAGCTGTCTAACTGTCTATCTGCATACCTTTCTACCTCTTTATCTGTTTCCATGTCTATCTATTAACTAATAATTCGGTATTTATATGAATTTAAAATAATGAATTGTAAAGTTCATATTTAACCAAGAATAATCGATTTTTCTGTTTTTTTTCTGCATTTCCGCTGGACCTCTCTTCGCTAAAATGTAATCAATCTGCATTCCGTCGACACAAGTAAAATATTTTTGAATCATCCAAATAGGATGCTCCGTTTTCTCATAAAATCTCATTCTACTTTATGCTCTGTATATCCCAAAAGGGTGGATCTGTCTTTTACACCGTTAATATGTATGTTTTTTTAAATTAAAATTGGTTTATTCATTTATTTTACACATCCATTTATTGTAATGTACGCAAAAATGTTCAGAAAATTTTGAAACGTAATGGTATGTAATAAATTTTATTTTCGATTTTATATTCGATAAACTAAATTTTTAATTAACCGTAGGGTAAGTTATAGTAATCGCAACAAAATCGAAAATGAAAATTTTTAGATATCTTTACGTTTTAAACGTCTCTGAACATTTTGGCATACCTTAGAAAAAATTGATGTAGGTGTGTGTGTGTGCATACAAATTTTCGTCGACGATTTTGGGAACATTGATCGACCGATTTGAATAATCGAAAAAACATTCGATTCGTATTGATAAGGAAGCGTGCTGATTAGTTTTTAACAAAGGCAGGTCTAGCCGTTCAGAAGATACGGGGCAAAAAGTATCAAAAACGGTAACTCAGTTTTTAAGAGAACGGTGCGTCCGATTTTAATAATTCGAGAAACATTCACTTATATTGACATGATAAAAAACTGATTAAATTTTTGGGAAGACAGGTCTAGCGGTTATGGACTTTCAATAAAAATAAGTTTAAAAAACGCCTTCTGGCGGTCAAAAATGATTATTAGACATATGAGCATCAAATTATAAGATATTTTATAGAGATTTTAATAGTGTGTACACATTTTGTGTAAATTTTATTGGGTTTCGTACTAAGATTTTCAATTACGGTACGGGAAGTTCCAGCAATTTGCCTTAAGGCATGATTCCATTCCCTCCACTAGTTTACATAAGTAAATCGTAAAGATTATAACGAATCAAATATGTTACGGCAAGATTTCTAAGCGATGGATGAAAATTATTGTGCCTCCATTAATAATTCCAAATATATTATAATGCATATTTATATTAAAACGTATACATGTATATTTCTATAGAAGGTAACAAAAATATTTATCACTTTATTTGTATTTATCTCGCGGAAACCAGCATCGCCGGCGGAAAACGTGCATTTTGCATTATCGGCTGAGCAAATCCATATATGAATTCACCGCACGAGGTGGATTCGAGGGCGATGTTGACCCGAACGGACAATAATAGCCGCGCTCTCACACCCGGGGCAACAGTTGCGCGTCTGGGCAACTGTCGACGCGTCGAGTCCGGGCGGTTATTCAGCCGTGCATCGCAAGGTGTGCTTCTTATCTCGTCCGCACAGCACACGAGGTCGGGTGGCCCGCTGGCTGCGTGATATATGGGGAATACTACGATTGTGTCGATGACGGTACATTTGCTATATTGCAATGATGAAGGACCAGTTAGCACCCTTTCATGGAATTTCTCGATGAAATATCATATTTGTATGTTTATAAAATAAACAATTATTTTTGTTCAATTTGGTTTTCAATAATTTTTAGTATTATGGTATAATTTATTCGTTACTTTTTAACAATTCTTTTTTAATTTTCCGTGGGGTAACTCATAGTAATCGTCCATATATATTTTCGCATATCTTTACCTTTTTTCTAATTGTGATTGTTTTCGTTTTTTTCCTAATTTTGAGATTTTGGTATATCTTAGAAAGTGTGGGTGTGTGTTTATGTGTGAATGTGTGTGTGAATATGTGTGGATGCAATATTTGACTCACGTTTTTTAGAGTACGCATCAACCGATTTAAATGATTCAAAAAGCAATCGATTCCTAGCGATAAGGAGAAAAAACTGCAGAAAATATAAATTTAAGTTCTTGAGAGTACAGACTATCCGATTTTGATGACTAAAAAAATATTCAATTCGTAATGATGGGGTGCTGATTTGGTTTTGACCAGCCGTTTCGTAGATACGGAGCTAAATATGCAAAAAATGGTAGATTTTCAGAGAACGAAGCATCCGATTCAAATGATTTCAAAAGCATTTGCTTGTTTTGACAGTGTGAAGAAACGACTAGTTTTTTGTGAAAGCATTTTTTTTATTTCAAAATTTCAAAAAAATATATATCTTAAATGATTCTTATTTAATTCTAGATAGAATTCTAAAACTCTTTTATATACCTCGAATAAATAATTTTAACTTTGCAATTCAGTTTATATAATTCTCAGAAATATAAGATAAGATTGTTAATTCTAACTTCGGTGGATTGGGTTTTATTAACTTTTCATATAAACAAGCATTTATAATTTGTCTATAACATAAAAATAATGAAAGCTACATTATTAATCAATAGTAATATATTTGAAAACACTTAAAATTTTTTGAATAATTCGTTATGATGCGAAAGTTTTAGCTTTCAAATTATTATTATAAATTTACGTAAACTGTAAATAATATAAATAAAATATATAATGTCTTCTTCAAAAGAAATTCTTGTCAAAAAGCAATATAAACCAATTTTATCAAAATGCAAATATAATGTATCCTTAACATAAATAGAATGTGCTCACATTATACAAACTATACATTTCACCCAATCTATTTCACTTAAATTTGCATAATCTTCATTACATATCAGATAATAGCATTCCTAAATGGTTAATAGAATTAAAATAATATTTTAATATTGTTCAAGATCATATTGAAAAACTTCTGTTACTACTTATGCCTATTACAATAAGCTCCTAGTTTTTCTATATAAGGTTTGGGCATTGGCACCTAATCAATAAATACCAAAGTTGTCATCCAATAATCGACCACAATAAAGTTTTACAAATGTAAACACCGTTTCATTATACATTTCATATGTAGTGGCAGTTAGATTATCAATATTCTGAAAGTTCATCAAAGCTGAACTATGCAGCTTTGATGAAGGACCAAACGCACTTCTGCTCTTTATCTCTTAAATAAAATTGGCAGCAAGATCACTCTAGGGCTACTCATCGATTAGTGGTTAGAGCTATACAATTTCAATCTGATGACCTTATTGGACATCCTGATGTCAAGCGGTTGTAACCCCGGTTTTCACTTGAAAATATAAATAGCAATAATTTTCCAAGTGAAAATAGCTTTTATCATGCATTCCTGCATCAATGCTTCAATGCTTTCAACTTGCTTACCTGTACTCTGAGGGAAGTTAAAAAATCCGGGCTCCGGGTGATAATTTTTCTGGAAAGGGGCGATAGGTCAAGAAAGTTTGGGAATCACTGCTCTATACAATTATATATATATATATATATATATGTGTGTGTGTGTGTGTGTGTGTCAAACAAATCTAAATTTATATGGTTAGAATTTTGTGAAAATATTATCCTTAATAATAATAATAATAAATATACTCAATTTTGTTAAAATCTGATATAAATATTTTTGAAGTGAAACGGCGTAGAAATGAGATTGTATCGCCAGCGAAAAAGTAAAAAAAAATACCATCAGATAATGAATGTATGTTAATTACATGAAATTTTTCAATTTTTCAAAACACAACATGATGAGTGAAGTTGCAGAAAAGAATATTTGTTTAGGCGTTGTTTAACATAATCCATTGTGTGAACGAATATTATAGAATTTATTAATCAGCAATTACTTCATTTCTCTAATGAAGGTTCATTACAAGATCATATCATATTTGAAGTATGACTTTAATTACATTAATGTTTTTAAATATACATATTTTTAATGTTATTATAAATATATAATTTATAATTTATCGTTATATAAATGTGTATAATGGTTGACACTAATAAATGTGTGCATATTAATAATAAACATTATTTAAAATTGTTATATGACGTCTTTATTTTTACTTGAATGCCATATTGTACAGTAGCAAATAAGTTTTACTTCAATTGCGTGTGAACCTTACGCGCACTTTTTTTGTTTCTACTTAAGTTGGCTTTTTAAAATGTATATGCTTTATACTTGTTTATCTATGTGTATATGAAAATGTAAATGGCTAATATTTTTGTTTAAAGATCCATAAAAAAAACTTAACTCCATATCTATGTTATTCATATACAACGTAAAATTTGCATGTATGTGATAATTTAATACACATACACGTAACACCGCAGAGTAATGATTGCCTTGATTGAGGCCTTGAATTCAGTTAAGTGACAATTGTGAGAGATTGAAGTTATATTATCTAACACACAAATTTTTTTAGTGATTAGATAATTTGTTTGTTATTTACATAAAAATTAGATATATTTTTATATGAGTTATGTACAATCACTGATGCTTTATTATCATTTTGATATGAAGATAATGAGAAGATAATGATAGTGAATTGTGTAATTTGTGAAAAATTGTAAATGATCTTGGTCTTGAATTAATTGAAGTAATAATGTTATGTTCAAATAGTGATATGACTATTAAATTAAGACAATTATATTAGAACAAAATTAGAAACAAATTACAAATACATATTATAAAATAAATAATAATTTAACTTATATGAAAAGAAAAGTTATCATTTATCATACAACGGTTGATGTCCGTGTTGATAAGTCCTGCTTGAACAATGATATCGCAACTAAAAACACATATTTATTTATTATCTCGAATTAATAATACTCATTCGTTTAATGTTCTTATCTTCCTCAGTGGAATCGAACTCGCAGTAGATTTATATTGAAAAAAATATTGAATATAACAACTGTCACTGGCAGATACTGGCACATCAAGTTCACGCGCGAGTGATTACCGCCTTGCTTTAAAAAAGGTCATGCGGAATAATTCGAACACTTTTTTAGATCCATAAAAGGTTTTATATGTATATCGTATATTGATTTTTTATTCGATTTATTGTTTCTGTGATAAACCGTGAAGTGTAGTGATGAGTGCCGCGAAACAGCTGGTTCCGCCTGATGGAGGATGGGGCTGGATGGTCGTATTGGGGAGTTCGCTTATTCAAGTAAGTTAATTTGTATGTAATCTAGTTCTTGTGATATTCTTTTCTATGTTGTTTTTTTTAATCATCTTATATTTGATGTCGCCATCAAAAATTATAAATTTTGTTGCAGTACTATAGATTGTCCTAAAATTCTGACCAAAAATTCTTCACTAGATTCTCTTTACAAACTCCCACATGTGGCATTCAGAATACATCAATGCAGCAGCATTTAACTGCTATAAATGCAAAATATTTTTTTAAGTTTTTATTTAGATATACGTTTTTTATTATATGTGATTCAGTTCTACCTAGTATTTAATACTTATGTAACAACCAAATAAATAAAATAATATTTTAACAAAACTATTATAAAACATTTTTGCCTAATAAAAAAAATATAAAAATAGATATAATTATTTTGATCATTTTGAATTTTAAATATATTTCCAATATACTTGCTGTTCAAATATTCTACAAGTAATTAGTTTATTTTTTATATATAAAACTGTATTTATTATTTTATTTTTATATGATTCTATGTAATTTATTCATAGATATTGATGGTTCCTTAATATAAAAGAGTTAATTTCATCCAATATTCGTTGAAAATTCAGCATTCGGTTTGTTAACAACAAAATGACTACTGTTTATATAGTTCGTATAGCGTCTACTAAAGTAATTGAAATATTTAAAACAATCAATTATTTAATAGTGATTTCTTCACTATTATTATTTAATAATAGTAAAAAAAACTTCAGCAAAATATGTATACAAAGTATCTCAGATAATATTGCAAGTCACTCTATAATATAGAGAGATCCATATCATAAAATAAACAAACTCACTATATGTTTATTTGAATTCAATAATGAAAATAACTAGAATATTAATGACCTTAAATAAATTCTCTTCTAAAGTCAATTACATTTTTTTATCATAAATAAAGATAAGAAAATTTCTTACCTAATTTATATTATCATACGCAGATATAGTCCTTCAATTTTATCATAATGAATATATTTTGAATTATAATTACGATTCATAATCAAACGATTTATGTTGATAAATTTAATAGAAATTGCATCTAGTTAAACGAATCTTTGTAATTTTAACTTATTTGAATAAGAGCCTTATAATTAACACCAACGTTGTTGACGAAAACTTTTTATGTCGGCAAATTAACCTTAATAATTTGAAATAACCTTCATTATGAATTACCACATACAAAAATAATCGAAAATAAACTTTTATAATCTGCGTTTAGAAAAAATGATTTTTGCGAGCATACGTATATAGACAAGACTGGGTACGGTTGTGCCAGGTTAGGGTAGTGACAATCATCACAACAGTTGAACAACACTGTTTTTGAGATAGGGTCCAAACAGAGAAAGATGAAGTATGTTTGTTCGAACAAGTTTATATTATTGTATTGCTCTATATTAACATAATCTATAGACCGAATTTTTTATGAAGAGCCAAAAGTAAGTTTTTTGTTCGATTTCTTTTAATATTAACTGTTACTTGTACACAGATTCCTTTGTTTATTATTTTGCAGTAAGTTGAATTTTATTAGTTAATTACTAGCAATTAGTTTTGTTTTATGTGACATATATATGTTATGAAATGTATTTCTTGCTTTTTTTGTGTGAAATTCAAACAGATGAAGAAGAATCCAACTTAACTAAGACAAAATACTAAAGAGAACGAAATAGACAAATTCAATACAAGAAAATAAAAAAAATTCATAAAGATTTCTTGTTTTATAAACAATGCTTAATTATATACTGTAATATTATCTTCATAAGTATTGTTTAAATGATTATATTGTGTTGTGTTACATATTTCTGATAATAAAAGTAGTATAAACCATTTTGGTTATTTTAGCTATTATTTTTAACACGTTTTTATGATGATTAATTCATCGTATTTAAGGGCAGTATTTCAGTATTTCCTTGTAAACAAATGTTCAAACTGTCATCTAGTTTACTTTCTTGCCAGCTAACTGATAAATTTGGAAAATTAATACTGTTCACAAAAAAGTGTCACAACCGTACCCAATCCTATATAAATATATGGTTTTTTTCGTAGATGAGTTATGAATTATTTTTATAAATGGATATCAATTTATGTGTATGTGATGAATAATATATTCAAAATGCTTACTGTGGCAGGATTTTATCGTTTGTATTTTTTTAATTTTAACTTTTTATCTTATACTTATATTGAGTTTTGTACCATCTTGCAAGAATAATTTATATCTAACTAAATGAGTGAATTTTACTATAGTGACAGGCGCTACACCTACCATTTCTCCAAAAGGTTGAATTTTTTTAAAGTATTTTTTTTAATTTGCAAGGCATTTACATGCAAAATAACGAATTTTATATACGATTATTAATAGTGATTAAAATAGCCAAATAATTTCAAAAACATTGAAATAATTTTATTTTTATATTTTTCTAGAGGTTTAATATTATAATATTACTCATATGTTACATTTTTTTTAAATTATTAAATTCTATTTGATCATTTAATTAAATCAATCAATTTTGTTTAATCATTAATTTAAATAAGCTTAGCTTCACACCACTACTTTCTTTTAGGTAGGCTAGATAGGTAATTAGCTGTAAGATTAATTTATACAGTCACGATATGAAATGAATAAAACAACTGATCATATTCTGTAACTATCATCGATTATTTACTAATAATCTATAGCTATTTATATGAGCAAACATTTATTACCCCCTAACACTTTTAAAGTTACAACCACTTTTAAATTACCATAATCTTACTTTATGTTCGAAACGATTCATGTAATATAATCTTCCTTTAACAGATTCTATTAATAAAAAAGCAATGATAAAAAACAAGTTACTGTTTTGACAGACTCTAGTGATGCCCATGGGACATGTGTTTGGTTTAATATTCGCCCAAAGATTTGCTACCATGGGTCTGTCTGCTACTGATGTGTCCGTGTTGATGAACGCGAACGCAGCAACCGGTATGCTACTTGGCCTGCTGAATGGTCCTCTTCTCAAACTGATCGGCTACCGCGCCCTTGGACTCCTCGGAGGATTTATGATAAGCGGAGGAATCATGCTGAGCGCTTTCGCTACGAGTTTCACCCAACTGCTCCTGACTTTCGGGCTAATCATGTGTTAGTTGAAAAATGGTATACCTATATGACTATACATACTTCATATTTAACGATATCTAATAATATTTTTTAAATGAGTGTGTTCTACTGGCACATTTTATTTTCATTAGTAATGCAGCCGATTTAATTATGTATATGCCACTAGAATTATTAACTAGTCAGTTATCTCCATTCGATTTCATTAAAAATTGAGCACTGTTGTGTTACGTTAGAAACGAGCCATGGCCTGTGAATTTGTAAATCAAAGAATATTATAGGATTATAAGTATATTTTAAGAGATTGAAAATTATATCATTAGTATATATTTATTTGATTAACATGAGCACATAAAACATATTAAATCATAAACGCAATAAATTTATTTGAAATTCATATTCTCTTTATTGTAATCGCACGGCATCGAACGGCTATAAAAAACGCCCCCTCGACGGGTCCGATACATTGACCTTCGCATAATATATAATATATTCATTCTAATTAGCAGTACTACTTATTTAGTTGTTTGTTTATATTTTTATTTATTTTTATTGCGCTTAGTTTATTAGTTATGTCTTTTTATTTGTTGTTATAATTCATAATTTACTCATTTACCTCATAAATCATTTTATTTTTAAGTTTACTCTATATAATCACAAAATTTAAATTTAATATATCAAAATTGAAGAGGCTTACTACTGGGTAACCTTTTAGATCTAATGTTTAATATTTCATATATCATCAAAATTACTGAATGTCCTCCCTTTTGTAAAGACAGATTGTAATTCAATAAAGAGAATAAAAAAAATCATATTCTCCGCAATGAATCATATTTGGCGAAACAGAGTATTATATTTAATGTGACTTTTCAAATTAGGTGAGTCGCTGTAGGGCATCGGATATGCATTACATGTTGCCAGCTTTCTTTCTGGTCGAATTTTCCTGAATTTTACATATGCGTAATTTTTCCTTTTACCAATGCGTCTATGCGTCGTAGCGTTTGTCGTAGCCAGTATAAAACTATTTTCAGTGTCTAATGACTTTTTTTTCGTATTCACGTCGTTCATATACAGTTCCGGTTGACTTTTATCAAAATGTTTTATTTAAACAAAAGCGCTGACATGCGATAAATGTTAAGAAGTGAAAACTCCAATCAGGAAAAAATCTGGAAATGTGAGTATTCCCTTTATTCGGTGTCACAAGTAAAAGAATTTGAATAGATTTGGAGATCCTTGTATTATTCATACTCAGTGTCCTATGGCGCTTGGTATAAATCCAGTTTTTGTAGTTGCATATTTTTGGTTAACATCTGAAAAACATTATAAACTGCTAAGTTTTCAACTATTGCAACAACTATCTGAAATTGTTGATATTTTTAATTTGTTTATTTTATTCCAGAATAACCTAAAAGTATATTGAAAATTTTGAAGTTTAAAAATTCTCTTACTTTATTACGAAAGTTCCAATTTCAATAGTCATTGGTTTATAAGCATCACTCACAAAATGTTGATACTACTTCATAACCAATGTACTTGTCATTCACAGTTAACTGATAATAATCATATTTTAAACTGTATTTTATAGTAAATAATTCACATAACAATTTCATTCTTGTAATCAAACCTAAAACTTGTAATTATTTACTATATTAATTAAATTATACTGACGTGCTGTAGTGCCTGAATAGAGACAAATTTTGAATGTCAATAAAGTAGATGATTTAGGTCAGAAGATAACTTCAATATTTATTATATTTTACGTATATATATATATATATATATATATATATATATATATATATATATAGGTCGGTCCTAAGGTCCTTAGCGCCCGCATGCAACTTTTTTCTAGCGCCCTTCCCCCCTATTAATTTTCACCGTTTTAACAGTTTATCATTAAAATTATATAAATATTTACATATTTTTTAAAAATTAATTTTTAATTATTCTGGATTTAGTACACAAAAAATTAGATATAATCTAGAAGGGTATAAAATATATTAATTTTAAATTTATTTATTATTATCGATATCAATAAATAAAACAATCCCTGTCATAACTGCACATTTTAGTAATATTCAATATGTAGTAAATTGGTTTAGAATGTAAGTTCGACTATCATAGCAAAATAATTAATATTTTTGTTAGATTAAAGTTATAGAATTTAAGAAATGCATTTCAGAAATAGTATTTATTATTTTGATATAAAGATCTTGATATCATTTAATCTTTTTCGATTTCACGGTAATTTCAAACAAAGAATAATATTGGATAAGTAGATTAAGTAATAAACAGAGCTGTTATTTACTAATTTGCAGAATTATTAATCGGTTAATTGTTTCTACTGATATCACATTGCAAAATAAATATACTTTTTGTGTCTCCGTACCCCTAGTAAATTATTTATTATAATTTTTTAAGTATTCTAGATTTTAAATAAATAATTCCAGATTTTATATAAAAAATATAAATATTATATTATAAATTTAATTTCCGAAACTCGTTTTGGCGCCCCCTAAGGCTTGGGCCCGCAATTTTTTGCATGCATCGCATGCAAGGCAGGACCGGCCCTGTATATATATATATATATATATATATATATATATATATTATACTCTAAATCAATTAATAATTATATAATATATTTTCGAAAAGTTTCTACATGATTTTTTTGTGTGAAATTAGCTCTGGGCGGAATGGTGCTGATGACTGCATTTTCAACAGCTGTTAACTTGTATTTTAAAGAAAAACTGAATAGAGCGACTAGCATTACTGTTACACTTTCAGGTAATTATATTGACTCCATTAATTGATTTTTAGTTACTAAATTAGTTACTAAATGATTTACCATGTCATTTCTCACACTTCATTTTACTAAAAGTAGACGTGGTGCAAGTATTTTTTTATGTAATCTTTATAATAATGCAATAGATTGTCTTAAAATTCTTGAACAACTGGAACAGGACTTCTTAAACTTTTGTCCCCCGCGACGTAATTTATGATTTATTTATTAGTTTCTTGATTTAGCGAGTTTCTTGACAAACCCACACAAATATAAAAAAATTAATTAATATTTTTAGATGATTTATTTATTAGGTAACAATACACATATACATATATACATATGGACATATATAGTTTTAGAATTTGTTGTAAAACATAAACAAAAAATCTGTTTACACACACACACATACTTTTTCCAAATTTGGTCTCATTCGATTCAGAATGGCTTGAAACGTCGAGAAAACATAAAATTAGCGAGTCGGAGTTTATTTTATAAAAACATAAACTTCTCCTTCGCGAAGTTAAAAATGGAAGTGATGTTATAAAAAGATTCATAAATACTTGACATTAAAACCTCTCGCGACCCCAGAAGCTTCTTAGGCATTTGGCTTTGCGACTCATAGTTTTAGAAGCTCTGATCTAAAATGTTTCTAGATTCTATACTCAATCTCACATATATTTTAAGTATCCTATTCCTAAGTATAATGCTCTTTTAAATTCACCTATAACACTAATGTCTTCTAACTTTTATTAAAACTCTTAGTTGCCATCTTTGCAAGGTCTTCATATATCTGTTTTTTTGTGTATTATATTGTTGTTCAATGTTAGAAATTCTCTAGTATCTATATTATGTATCATTACAATTGTGATTTTAAATTTTGTGGATAAACTTTGATAAATAAATATATAGTTTATTATTTGGCCACTTTATAGAACGATTCGAGTAGAACTAAACAAAGTGGCTACATTCTCAAGTTAAACATATCAACTAACTATAAAAGTATTAGTAATATTATTGTTGGAGGTTGGAGCTTTAACAAAAAATACCTCGTTTCCAATTCAGAAGATTGATTTCACATAAGTCAATTTTGGTGTATTAATTATTATGTTTTATGAAAATTTTTATTATTTTTATATCTAGTTTATCCTCTAGTTTTGTTTTGCAATTTAAGTTCCTCGCTTTCCAGCATCGGTTTAATTAAAACGAAATCTATACACGCATATAGTAGAAACTTCTATCAAACGAGTTATATCAGTGAGGTACTCTTTTAATTTAAAATGTTCATATATGTTTTCGATGTTATATATCTAATTTTGTTTTTATTGCGTGCTGTCCATCGCGCAAATGTTCAATCCGCTCTAAAATGTTTATTTGATGTGCCTTTTGCAGCTCTGGGTCCAATATTTTTCCCTTATTTTATCACCGGTTTGATGAGCCACTATGGTGCTTTTGGATGTATCCTGATATTGGGCGCAATATCGACGCACACGATAATGGCCGCATTACTCCTGCAACCAGTCGAATGGCACATGAAGAAAATACCGACGACGAATGTCGCGAATAAAATCGACAATAATGGCTCGGAACAGAGGACGGAAACATCCACAGGAAAGCCGGCACAAAATAGGTTTCTGATCAATGATATAATATATTTTCATTCCAAATATGTTCTATTGTTGCAAAAACAAGGAAATATAAATATTTTCCATACAATAGTGTTGTGACAGTAGTATAATACGGGTGACTTGAGTATACTTAATTAAACTAGCAGCGCCACGTGTATTTTTTTTTAATGGCATATGGTACATTTTTCTATTATTAGTACCAAATAGGTACTAAATAATCCGAGTCGATTTTTAATATGTGCTAATTTGGTCTTAGCTTAAGAGATGCAATGTTAGCATTGAATTAGATTTTATGTCTTAACTAACTTTAGTTACAAAGTCTTTAGAAAATTATATGAACGCAGCAGAAACTATTTGTGCATGACATCGTGCCTTACGGCAAATTGCTGAAACCGTACAATTGATTTTTTTAAGAAAAACTTCAAAGTTTTTTGAAAACTTTGAACTTTTTCTTCAAAACAATCGTTGCGTAGCTGTTTTAGAGACGAAATAACGAAGCGCGTTAACACCGCGCTGCAGCCTATCAGGTAAACATTGGTACGGAACCCATAGAAATGGAACAAAATGTGTACTAATTATAATTTGATGTGCCTATGTCTATTGTCTAAATGTTCTAAATCGGACGCTCCATTATCTCAAAAAAGCAATTACTATTTTGGCTTTTTTTCCCGTATCTTCGAAACGGTTGTACCTGCCTTTGCCAAAAACTAATCAACACGTCTTTCCACTAATAGGAATTAAATATTTTTAACTTCCCAAAGGATGAGTTATTGTAATCGTCCAAAAATCGAAATTGAAAATTTTTGCATTTCTCGACGTTTTGAAGGTTTCTGAACATTTTGGCATATCTCAGTAAAAATGGATGTGTGTGTGTATGTACGTATGGATATAATTTTTCAGTCACGTTTTCGGGCGCACGGATCAACCGATTTCAATGGCTCAAAAAACATTCAATTCCTATTGATAGGGATATGTGCTGATTAGTTTTTGGAAAGGCAGGAGATAAAGAGCAAAGAGTGCAGAAAATAGAAATAGAGTTTTTGAGAGAACGGAGCATCCGATTCGAATGATCTAAAAAAACATTCAATTATTAATGATTGGGAGAAGTGGTCATTTCAAAGATACAGATTTAAATGTGCAAAATCTAAATGTGTAAATAATTGATTTTGGGGAAAAAAATTGTAGCAAAATTTTTTTTCAAATTTTTTTTTCAGACAATTCTTTTTTGCAAAAATAATTCAGCTTTAAACAAATAATTTCAACTTTGCAATTCAGTTTATATAATTCTTATAAATATTAGAAAATGTTACAATATTTATGAGAAATGAAAACTGAAAACTGAAAACATTCAATATACCTGGAACATTTCGTTACAGTACGGGAAGTTCCAGCAATTTTCCTTAAGGCATGATGTCATACACCCCACTAGTTTAAATTATTCATATCGGTTGATCCGTTCTCCCAAATTCGTCGTCGAAAATTTGCACCCGCACATACACACATTTTTTTATGCTTAGAAATAACTATTTATTCATTTTTATAATCATTTTTTCTAATGTATGCCAGAATGTTGAGAAACTTTGGAATCGTAAAGATATATAAATAATTTTATTTTCGATTTTTTTGCGATTACTATGTAACTTACTCTACGGGAAGTTTTAAATATGAATGCAATAACAAGAGTTCAGCGCAAAACAACTTTGAAATAGCACATTGTTTTCGATAAAATGTTATATAAATTAGTTTTCAATACTATTGGCGTTTTCCGTACTTTTCATTATCATGGAATGCTAGTCTTTAATATAACTTCATAACATCTTTATCTAATCATTCCCTAAAATGATTAATAATATATGACTAGACTTGCTTAGAGTTAATTGTAAAATCTCCTCTTTTATTCACAAATATTTGATAAGCAATTTTATTAATTGAAATTACGTTTGATAAAAAATTTGATTTATTATAATTTATGAATTCTTTTATGGAATCGAAATTTTCATAAATAATTGGAACTGTTTTTACTTGTTTTAAAATGGTAAAATTATATTAATATTTTTGCAACAATGATTGTTGGATAGATTTTGAAAATGTGATAAAATACATTTATTTACAACAAATAAAAGCCTAATAATTTGATTTTTATAGTAAAAAGCATTTATTAATTATTCCATATCAAAGTTGTTGAAAATAATGCATGTTGATTTCGAATCTTCAAATAAAAAAAATGAGAAATATTTACTTGAAAAATCACAACGGATCGTTTAATATAAAATTATGTTTTGAACATTTTCTATTATGACTAAATCTTTGTAAATCCAAAGATGCCATAATAAAAATTACAGTATCAAACGTTAAAATATTAGCATTATTTATAACTTCGTAAATCAAATAACGAGTTTAAGCAAGAAATTGAACTTGTATACCAAGAAGTAAAAATTACTAAGATTATATAAATAAAACAAAAATCCCAATAATTCTTCAATACAATTTGTTTATAGTATAGTCAGTCATAAACTTCAAATAGATCAAGTGACAAGAGATATAAGGTTATTTAAATTAACTATATATCTCTTGTTACTTCAGCAATAAAATGCATGTAAAATATAAGTCAAACAATTCTTTAATTTTTCTTTTTACATGCATTAGATTCAGATGTAGAAGAATCATATAAAAATATAATTTATTGGTTCATATTGATTATTTTGTAGAATCTACTGATAGTCTTAGCTAATAATTCACACAAATTACATAAAATTTTAGTACCTGCTAGTAATCGGTGCCAAATAGTGGTGCTTTTATATTTGTGATTTTTATGTGATTAATGTAATGAAATAAAATCTTCTTTATTCAATCATTTCCACAATTTAAATTTTACATATTAACTTTTTTCTCAAATAATTATTGAATTTTGCTTTCATAACTTTTTTCTCAAATAATTATCCTTTATAAATTGATGTGGTACAAAATTATCATTTTTCTAATTACAAACAAGATGGTGTAAATTTATATATCTTTCATTGAAGAAAAAATTGAACAGCCCAAACCGTAGCCCAAATGTTGCTTATCTGTTTCTCCAGTATTATCGCCCATATCCACTAACCATCATGTGATGGCATCCACATATAGGATCAATCTATTATATGTCAAAAGTTAGACATTTACATATAATTGCTTGTATGTTATGTCCATATCTCGCCATTGTTTAATAAATTCCCTAATCCGCAGATCCAACACACAGTCGACGTGCCGGATTCGCAGAGCTGCAGCGGCAGTTGTCAAGTTCCTAGATTTGGACATTTTAACTGACAGTGTTGGACTGAATGTGCTTTTGGGAATGGTCCTCATCATATTTGTAGATATCAACTTCGCTCAAATAACGCCGTTTGTGATGCAGGATCTGTCTTTTAGTTCGAATGACATTGCGTTTTTCATGACAGTCATATCAACCGTTGACATCTTTGGTAGATTTATTAGTCCATTTATAGACGAGTATTTGAAATTTGGAGCCAAGAAAATGATGATGATCACTTTAGGTCTTATGATTCCCATCAGAATGGGTAAGTTTAAAGTAATAATCGATCAAATTTTAATATTTTGATCGTTATAATAAGATATTAAATATATATGTGCTTAGATTTTTCATATTAGGTGTATTAGGGTGGTCCCTAATATGGACATTTTTGAATTTCCTTGCTGCCAAGGGCTCAAATGGTTCCAAATTGATAAAAAACAATTCTCTCATAGTTTTGGCTCTTAATATTGTTTTTTAGATAGTGTGCAATTCAATCAAAGTTTTGTATGGAAATAATATGAAAAAAAATTCAAAAATTTTTAAAATGTGTTTAGATATAATTTAGCAAACAAATGAATGAGTTTTATTCAAAATTAGTCGCTAGGTTATACCTAAGAATTTTTTTTTAATTTTCAATTTTTTTTTCATGCTATTTCCATACGAAGTATTGATTGATTGATTGAATTGCGCACTATCTAAAAGTTAATATTAAGAGCTAAAACTTTCAGAGAATTGTTTTTTATTAATTTGGAACCATTTGAGCCCTTGGGAGCAAGGCAATTCGAAAATTTCCATAAGGACCACCCTAAGATGCATATGTATAAATAAAGATTTGATAGATTAACACTAAACCGACCAACGCCGGTCAAATTGACCTTCAAACCTTCGAACTTAAATATTTTTGAACATTTTTTTTTTGTTTTTTTAATTTCAATAATTATTACAACTGCTAATTTATTAACATCAAATAATATCAATATCAATAAATAAAAGAGCAAAGGATAAAATTTACATGAAAATAATATCTGTAATATGATTTAATGTAAAATATAAGCAAATAATAATAAAAATAAAATTAATAAATAATATGAATAAAATTTCTGAATAATAAAATAATACTAGAAAAATAATAAAATATAACAAAATAACAATAATAGAAATAGTAAGATAATAATAATAATAATAATAATAATAATAATAATAATAAAAATAATAATAGTAATAATAATAATAATAATAATAATAACAATAATAATAACAATAATAATAATAATAATAATAATAATTTACAAATTTATAAGATCATTTGGAATTTTTCGTTTTAGCCTTGTTGGGCGCGCTTCTGAGTATACTTTGTATATATATATATATATATATATATATATATATATATTTCTGAGTATTTTTGAACGTTAAATATCAAACTATATGACAATTCTTAGAATTTACTTATAATATTTTCCTCACTCTTTGATTTTAGTTATTTTTTCTATTTTCCGAAAAAAATTGTTGTGTGGCCTAACTACCGCGGTTGGTCAATTTGGCCGGTGGAAAATAATGCTATTTGTGGAATTATTTCCGTCGAAATGTAAGTGCAGATTTAAAACATATCAAATAAACCATAAAATTTTAGAATAAAGTTCTGGATTGTGAATGACGTGAACAATTAATGGGTTTACATATTTGGGAAATGATGAGAGGAGATATTATTTAATTTTTCAATTGGATAGTTTGTTGTTCTAAAACTGGTAAATCTATTTACAGATTTTGAAGCAATTGTTTAAATCAAATTTCATTACCTTCAAGTTAACCGAAAAAATGCTTGTCCCATGTTTCAAACATTATTCTATAGAAATAAAAGAAATCAGCAAAAATGTATAGAAAACTTATAGAAATTAGAAACTTATAGAATTAAAATTGTATAGTAATTAGGTGTTAGTTGCATTTTGCCTGAAAGAAAAACGCTAAACTACACAGTCTGTGTAAATAATCGATGTAATAAATACTTATTGAGTATTAGCTAATTAACTAATCTGAATTAGCTAATGATTCCTAACTGAATTTTTTCTAATAATTTTTGATTTAATAAAATCGGTTTTTGGCTTATATTCTAGTTGGCTTCCATTTTGATTGTCGCCAAGTACTAATGCACACTAGTCCTTAGCGAGTTTTATCAAATGGCTTTCAGTTTTCTAAAATCGCCTCAACAGTTCTCTGAGAAAACGTCGGCGAAAATATCAAAAACACTATGCTTTCTCCAATTTTTGTCTTAAACGATTCACAATGACTTAAAACGTCGGATTGTCTGTATATATTTTTTTCCTTAATATAATTCTAAAAATATTTTACAAATTTTTAAATGAATTTGGCAAAGTCGAAACTTTGTCGAAACCTATGATAAACCCTATAATTTTTATACACTTTTTTGAATAAATGTGAATATGTCATATTTTTACCATATTATAATTAATTGTTATTGTTGAATAGTATATTAGAGTGATATCTGATCTTGCTTACTATGAAAAAGTTGTTTAAATTAATAATTATACTGCAAAAATGGTATTTTATTTAAAATATAATTCAAATTCTGCAGGATAAGTAAAGAAGTATATACTCATTGCATGTATGTATTTGGTAGGGGGAAAAGAAATCTATAATTTTACGAAGTTTAAAAGATATCTGATTTTACTTAACATGCTTCGGATTGTCCGATTTTTAGCTCCTAATCGATGTTACGATTGCTAACATACCGGTAAACTTTGATCATTTCTCCGATCGACATTTTTAATGTCTGGCCTACCTGTGCAAGGTTCATCTTTAACATAAAAAATTCCTGAACAAAATCTACGAAACCAAAATTGCACATAATTTGCTGTTACAGTATCGGAACCATAAACACCATTCACAGTATTAGCCGCCTGGCTTGCATTTTCGCCTTTGTTAAAGAAAAATTGTAAAATATACCGAAAATTCTCTTCAATTTCACTAACACTCTGTGGCTTGCAACTGAATGCACCAAACAAAAAACATCGAAATAAATCTGAAGTTGTTTGATCCATTACGAGTCATCTATCAGTACTGTCATCTACCAAAAAAATAATGGTTTTCTTTTTCCCCAACCAAATATATATCAATTATATTTATTGAATTAATTCACTATTATATCATTATAGGTTTGTTATTTTCGGAAAGCTACTATCAAGTTCTAGCAGTTTGTGCTATTCTTGGTCTGGTCAAAGGTGCTTCAACGGTCTACATGTTCCTGATTTTACCTAGTTGTCTTCCAGTGGAGAAATTGGCAGCAGCCGGGGGCGTTATGATGCTGGGTTGCGGGGTTTTCCTTATGACCTTTGGTCCAGTAATGGGTGAGTAATCTTGATACTTATCTAAGGCTGTTAATAATTAACAGAGTATTTCGTGATATGAGGAATATCTGTTACCCTGCTAATTGGAGAGGCAAGTCAAAGATACACCGAGATGAAAGCCAATCATGCATATATTGTATTTGATTTCGGAATCCTCTATAGAGCAGCAATCAAATACATATTATAGAGGCTCAATTATGCATCAGATCATTGTTTAGTATAAAGCATGAAAAAAACTTATTTATCAACTGTTTTTCCGATGATCTTAAATCGTATTGTCATTCGGAAAGATTAATTTATAAAAAAGAAACTAAGATAAATAGCAGTAATTAGAACTTTGTCTTCTAACTCTGTTGTAAAAAACAAAATTATTTATCTCGTGAATAAAATTAAACCTGATTCGAACGTTTCTGGATATTTTCAAATATGCAATGAATGTAATAGGTTCTTTATATTTTTATAAAAGATGACATAATATCGTAACGCTTCATGCTAAAACCCGCAGGTTCCGAGTTTGCAGCCATTCTTTGCCAGCTTGATATCAAGCGGTTGTGATAGCAGAAATAATTTTAAAAAATAGTTGTTCTACTTATCAACAAACATAACAATTAATAATTTTAACCTTATTAAAAAGACAAAGAATTAACACGGAATTATTAAAATTTTAGGTTCATTTGTACAAAAGAATTAACACGGAATTAACACGGAATTATTAAAATTTTAGGTTCATTTATACAAAATTGCACTGACTTAATGGAGCACCATTAGTTCCTACTAGGGTTTATACAAAAACCAACATTTCAGAAAACTGGTTTTCGAATTTTAATTTTACTAAAAAAACGGTTTTAACCGGTTTTCGAATTTTATATAGAAAATAAATTTTTGCTCGAATATTCTGTAATTTATCCGCAAATTTAGCGTATTTTAGAGCAGTATTTGGCTGAATTTATTTATTGTTCAACTGTATAGATAGTAAACAAAATTATTTTAATTTTAATTAGTAGAACTAAAAAAAATCAATAAATTAAAAAAAAATAGATACATGTTGATACATACTTGTTAATATCAATTTTAGTTTTAAAAACAATTAAGCTAAACCTGGGTATTGTCTGTTCCGAGGAATTTTAATTAATTAATTCTAAACATGCTAATTATTTTTTTGTTTAATAAAATATGATTTAAAAAAACTTGAACGTCTATCGAATTGGTACTAAGACGTGTCCTTTGTTTACTCGTAATATTTCCTGGAAAAGAAAATACTCTCATACTTGCGACCAAATTATGCTTAATTGTTTTTAAAGCCTGATATAATAATTCTAAGTTTTTTGTTCTTTAATTTGTAGCTTCTAGGGTTTAAAACTCTTTCTTTTAAGTTTGAGTAGAGAAAGTTACTTCTTCAAGAAGAAGTCACACTGATTTAAATTAATATATACACCGATATAAAAATCTAAATTAATATATACAAAACCTTTCTGGGAACCATTGCAGACTGATAAGATATCAAATGCTATTGAACCGATATGACTTCAAGAATCAAAACGCTTTCATATATTTTGTATGTTTGGCTATATTTGTCATTTTCCATTTATACAGTGAAAACCGACTTTTTTCACTAAAAAACCGGTTTACGAATTACATAATTTTTGCGTAAAACCGGTTTTTAATACCGGTTTTTGAAAACCCACAAACCCTAGTTTCTACTCAACTAATTTAAAAAAAAAATAATAAAATATTTCAGAAGTCTATGTATAATTTAATCTTTTATAAAACGAATATGATTTAATGAATCGCAGTATAAGTGCAATATTGTATGGCTAATACGTTGCTTTACTTATTCACATATTTTATTATATCAATATTGAAATACTAATTAAAGGAATAATTATATCCAAATTTATTTTGGATATTTGGTCATTGATGATGATCTGTATATTATTTTATTGAGCAAAGATTACGACTTTTACTCATAATTAGATATTATCACATTTAATTTTACAATAGTTATTATTTAATATCTGATTTTTTTATTTCAGGATACTTGAGAGATTCTACAGGATCATACACACAGTGTATCATGGTATTAAACGCTCTCAGTATAATAGTTATTACATTTTGGACATTGAAAAATCCTGACAATAAGAAAACACAAAGCAAACCCAAGAAACAATAATCAGACCTTTTGTATTGTTAAAAATTATTATTGTACAATTAGTTAATGTTAGCTTAGCTAATAGAAATAAAAATGTACATGATATTCACAATTTTACTTGATTTACTAGAATGCTTTGTATCGGATTAAATGTGTAATATATGTAAATAATTAGACTGCGACCAAAAACTTTAGTCAGCATTAATTAATTATTTTCAACTATTTGATATATTCGATTAAAATGCTACGATATCTTATTCAAACGAAATAAATAATAAAATTTTAAGTTTGACATATAAGATTAATGCATTTGAATTGGTTTCTATCACGAACCTGCAGCTCATTATCTTTATCAAGATTTATAAAAGAAAATTTATACGTTCTACGTGATATTCGTAGATAATTAAGAAAATTATTGGACTCCACGTTAAATGTTTTAAAGTATTTTATATGCCAGATATGATGAATAAAATTGTTAACATCTCTATGAGTTGAATTATTTATTTTTTATTTTTAAATTAAAGTGCATATGATAACTATAGCTAAAATAGTATGTATGTGCGAATATATGGCCGTGTGTAGTAATATTTCAGCTTAATAAGGTTTAATTCTAAACAAAAAGGTTTTTTATAAAGCATTGGTTAATTAAAAAGAAAACCCAATTGTATGTTATGTCTAAAGAATATTTTGTAAGTCTTCCATACGTTTTTAGTCCAGTTTGGTTTTTTGCTAGATGAAACATAATATATTGAATTAAATAATATACCAAATATTTCAAATTTAAAACCAAATCAACAAAAAATGTGATACAGTGTGGAGAAAATATATGTTCAAAACTTATACAAGTACACTTAAAACATCATCACAATTATCAAAAATGATGGATGTAAAATCAATAAATTGAAATACATAATATTTCAATTATGCCAAACTATTGTACTGGAACATATTTCAACAATTCTAAAAAAGTTGTTTCAATTATTGTTACGTTATATAAATACATATATGAAAATTTAGTTTTTATTAAAATATCTGAGGTAAATGATGCTAAACTTTAAATATTTTCAAGACCTATTGAAATTATATATTAAGCAGACATTTAAATTCAGATTATTCAATTTTTGAATGTTATTCAACTCCGAGATTCTACTAATGATGACAGTAATTTTGTGCCATTATTTTTCTAGAATTTGCAAGAACACATATACCTGTACTTTTTTCAGTTACAAATGTGATTTAAAAAAAATCATATTGTAGAGGTTGACAGGTAAACAGATGGACAGGTGATTAGGTAGACAGGTAGACACGAATACAGGCCTAGAGGTAGACAGGTAGATCATATATTGAAAAAAATATTATTTATTAAACAGATTATTTATATAACTCGTGAAGTTTATGATACCTATTGCACCTATTTATTTTAAAGAATTATAAGTTTAAGAATTTTCTACCGAAAGTGTTCCATTAAATTGCTTAAAGCTAACAAATTCTATATAATTATATTTTTTTATTTATACTTTTGGATTAAATTAAATTAAATGAACTATTAAGAAGCCGTTACCAACAATTTTACACCCTTTTTTAAATAATTTTTGAAAATATTCTGTGATCGATTTCCGTCAGTTTCCGTATTCATACATCATTTATTATGGTGCTTATGAAAGCTAACGAGTGACAAGCAAGTATGACATGACATTTTTATTAGATTTGTGAAAACAGATTAAGTTATGGATAGGATACACTTTATCAATTTGATTGATGATATTACTGTATTATTTTCCTTATCCTGCCGTTCATTGGCGTAGTTTACTTACTTACTCAATAATCAAACTTAGAAAATAAGAATAATAAAGGAGTTTGGTGTCCAATTATTTATAATCAGAATAATCAGGTTCCTTATTGTTGCTTGGAATCATTGGCTGCGTATAAAAACATTAATATGTTCAAAAGCTTTCTTTCAGTTTTTTTTTCAGAAGCGAAAATTGTGCAGGTACTATGAATACAATAAAATTACTTTTCTTTAAGTAATAATTATGAATAAGTTCGACTAAAACCTGAAATAATATTTATTATTATTGATTACGGTTTGCTTATAAATAAATAAATAAATAAATAAGTAAATAATATATATTAGAATTGCTCTGTTTTAGGGCAGTTCTAAAATAATACGAAAGCTCTTTTCCTCATATTTTAGCTTTCATATGTATTATATCTCAAATATATTCTGTATTACTTTTATTATATGTTCAGGGTTTCTTTATATACTTTTTTATTAGGTGCATGCAGGCATTGCTTTGGTATTTTTAATAAATTCTTACTGCTCTTAATTTTTTTGCTTTGGTAGTTTTTTGAATTAATATTGTTCACTAATCAGTATTGTACTCATATTCACAATCAGTATAATCATTTAATTGTCTAATTCTTCGTAAAAGTATAATTTAAACTATTAACTTTTCATCAATTTCAATTTGCTCTAGGAGGACACTTCATAGGTTTAACTAAAGTATTTCTATTATCTTCCCGTCGAGAAGAAAAATTTTTTTTTTTATATTTAGTTTCAAGAGCTCATAGTCATTTGGCGTACCTTAGATGAAATTAATTAATGTGTTTGGGTGTTGTGACCGATTTGAATGATTCAAAAATCGATTTTTACCATAATAAGAATCATATTGTTTTAAAGAAAAGCTTGATTAGCAAAAGGTAAAAATAATAATGGGCATCAAGAAAAATGCATATACAACGTTGGGTGTAGGGGCTATATGTAATATGGGTAACTAGTAATAGGCGTTTTTCAATAAAATATTAAAGATATTAAGATATTTTTTGTCTGGATTCTGCATAATATTGTTATAGCTACTGACCTGCAGGCCAACGTAATATACAGAACTATGGATAATTGATTTGCATTATTATCATTGACTAACTTTAAATTTTATATATTTTATTTCATTTCAAATATATCAATCTTTGATCATGTGTAAAAATGTTTGAGATTGCTAAATTATTTAAATAGTTATATCAATTAATGTAAAGAAAACACACCTGGGGTTAATTGAAACAAAACCTTGAAACTATTTGTAAAATACAAGAATCATATACAGATACAAGTTAATAAGATTAATTAAAATATATATGCAGATTGTGAAATGTGAGTAAATTTGGTTACAGGATGAACTATATCTTTTATTTGTATTATGATATTAATTGTAATTAACGTCGATTTATGATGAAAAGTTTTATTACAGGTAATACTATATATTTGTATAGTATATATTAATTACAGTTTACATTGATTTGTGAAAAGAATTACTTAAAACATGTAAATTTTCTTATAAGTAAAGAATAAATTATCACAAGTATTATCACCTTTTTCTTGTCGTAACTATACTTGCCTCGTTAGATGTTATACATAACTAGTCCCAAACAATGGGTAAATTGTAACCCATCTTTATTTTGTAGAAATATAATTAGTAGATTTCAAGATTTGAAAAAAAAATTAAATTTGAAAAAAAAAACTGTTGCAGCAATACCCAAGCTCCTCTGCTTAATTTTTAGACGCAAACTATTGGATTTTGTACTAATTATTGATAATAACATTAATATTATAATATAATATATTAATACTTATATTAATATTCAATTAAAAGCGATTTTAAGTTTACTTGTATACTTAAAATTAATGATTTTCTTAAAATTAATGATTTTTTTCTAGTAAATTTATGGTCGCTTTCTTGAGACATGTAAAATGTTTTGCACAGTAATTCGTAATAATTTTAATTTTACAAAAACATGAAAAAACAATATTTGTTCAAAAGTTTTGCAATTAAAATTAAATTTTGCGAAGATCGTTGCAAATAAATTCTCACTGGGCAAAAAATGGCTATACTTTTAGACTATACGTTTAACAAAGTTTTATTAAAAAACAAAAAACTGCTTATTTATTTAATAAAAAAACTTCTACTTATATTAAGTTAATATTATAGAATCATAGCTAATATTATTCGGTTATTTTTTACTATAAGTGAAACCTTCAGATTTGTATCAAAGTTTATGCTTTTTAATCATAACATCAATTATGGCATTTCATTTTGATTCAAACTTTGCGGTTTTATTTAAATGATGGCTGTCCAATACCCAAAATTTAAAATGTCAATACTATGTTTGATGGCGCCACTAATTTTTTTTTTAATATTGTTCCACATTACTTTGTGAATCTTCCAGTTCTACGGTGAGCTCCAAACGCGCGGTATTTGGGGCAGTTTTCGTGAATTTGGCGCGTTTAGTTCAGTGTTCGTAGGTGCGTAGTGAATTCATCTTCTAAAATTCGGTCATGATAGTGAAATTATTGTTAGTTATTAAAACTGTGAAAATGATTCAGACGCGTTTAGTTAGTGAATATTTCGTAAAACTCAAAGTTAGTACTATTGTTGGCGTTCGACGTCAAGCTAGCCATGTTGTTCGGCAGATTCTAACCTACCTGCATCGCCGGTGAGTGATTGCGTAATATTTCTATATATCAAATTTAGCTTGCATTCAATTTTATTGAACTTTCTGTACGTAAATGTCCCTTCGAATATTTCGAAATATCTATTATTCAATCACATTGAAATATTCAAATCAAAATTAATTTATATATTGGTGCAAATTGCAAAATGCTGTATGAACGGGTTGTCCAATGAATTATAAATACTGGGATTAATAGATTTAATTAATTAAATAATATTTAATTTTGGCAACTTATAACTTCAAATTAGAATTGTTAGATTATTCTTGAGATAATTACACGTGGTCGTCGTAGAACACGTGGTCATCGAGGATTTCGAATTATTTTGAAAAATCTACTTAACACGTTAATCGTCACAATAATATCTGAAAAAAAAATTTATTGGTCATTGTAACTTCATTAGATAATTTATTTAAAAATATATCAAGGAAACTTAGTGTATCAAAGAAAAAAAAATTTGTTAAAATTCCTGGAAAAACACTATTTTTATGGAACGCTGACCCTATATTGAAACTTT